CTGTTGATTTCATGTTCTACAATGTCACATCCTTCCTGGGCCACACATGCCTTCTCTTTGAGCCAGGGCTTGCACCTGAGGGTTTGCAATCCACATCCGCCCCTCGTGCTTTGGCCGTGTTCCCAGGTACAGTATGTACCTTTTGAAGTTCAGAGTGATCAACTTCACGTTAATCTTTTCTCCCTCACTCTATTCTAATCTCTTTGGCGAGAACTTTCCCAGGGTATTCTACCCTTTGGGGCTACATTTATCTTGGGGAGTATCACTTCCAGTTAAAGCACGCCGGATTTCTCTTTCAGATATATTGGGCAGCCTACCAGCAAGACCCTTGACTGTCTGTGGCTTCATTTAAATATTCTGCAATTTCCAATGAGTGGCTGAGTGTTTGCAATTACCCTGGCCCCCTAAAGAGCAAAGAGGGGCATGATTCCTCTCCTAATGCCTGATAAATTCTTCCCTTTGCTCACTCTCTCATTCATTCACTTGTTCATTCAGCAAATAATCATTGAGCACCTAAGATGTGCCAAGCATTGGAGACACAGCACAAGACAGACAATAATCCTCTTGTGGCATTTATGTTCTAATGGGGAAGACAGCCAGTTAATGAGTGAGCAAGAAAATTTAAGGTAGTGGTAAATATTATGGAGAAAGTCATACACTGTCGTGTTATGCAGAGTGAATGGGGCTGGGGAATTCCTACTGTAGAGTAAGTAGTCAGGAAAGACATCTCTGAGGAGGTGACATTTGAGGTAAGACTTGAATGAACCAACCTTGGAAAGATTGGGCCCTGGAAAGCTGTTACACAAGTTTTTATTCTGATTTTTAATACTTCTCTGGTATTTTGCAATGAAAGGAAATCCTTAGAAAGTCTTACACTCTGATCACAATGACATTATTATAAATTATTGCTGTTAATACACACCAGCACACCAGATCAAGTACTCAGCACATGCCCTGCCAAAGCTCTGTGCCCTTTTCAAAGCATCTCTTTGGTCAGTAGTGGCAGTAGTGGCAAATGAGCTACAGGATCCCTCAGAATAGACTCCTGAAAAGATCTACTTCACCCAACTAAATTAAGCAGTTTACTAAAGTGTTATGCTTTCAGAGCCCTGGGAAAGGGCTCCCGCCCCTCAAAATATCCTAGAGTTTCCAACTATATCCTGGAGATTGAAAGTCTTTCTAACCAGTTTTTCATTCTGTAGCCAGTTAAAAGGCTTAAAATGCAATACCGTTAGGAGAAGTAGCAAACTGGCCCTACATACACACTATGGTTCTACAGAAGATACAGACTCTTTCTGGAAGGGGAAGAGGGACAGCAAGAGAGAACTAGAAAAGGAAAGTTGGGGGAGAGGGAAGAGTTGAAGAAATGGGAACTGGAAAGGTGGAAAGGCTGTGTGTCCTTGAGCAATTTATTTAGTCCCTAGGGACGGGACTGCAACTTCTCTAGACCTCTCCAGAGCCTGAGGCAGGCGGGCACACTTGGAGTTGGTCAGATGCATTGGCTGTGGCTGGTGTCTGTCTCTTGTGCCCCCATTCTGAAGACTTGTTCCTACATTTCAGAAGGTGGATTTCCCCATGAGAGGGAGCAGTGTGTATCTGGAACCATATGCCTCAGAGGAAGTGTAAAGTGCCTAATAATTAATGCCCAGGGACAGTAGGAAAGTAACATCTCATTAAGCAAATGATTCTTCATTTCTAAAAAGGAGCCTAGTGGGTAAGACAGGTCTCAACTGGGATGAGACCTCCATTAGTACTATCACCTGTCAACCCCACAGGAATGCTGTGTGAGGTCTAACGGGACAGGAGATCGGGTGGATGGGGTGGGGTGGGAATCCGGAGGGGTCGTTCCAGCACTGAGCAACCTACTCTCATACTCTGGGCCCCAGTTGGAAGGGTGAAAAGAGTGGGGAAAACAGATGGAAAGAAAAGTCCTAAAAATCTATCTGGACTAATTCAATGAATATTTAGAATAATAAAGTAACCTGAATAAATCCTGAAGCCCTCAGGAAGCTCAGTTTCCCAGAACCATAATCAAAGAAGGTAAACCAGGAGCCAAGAAGAAGTTAAACTTGCATTACAACCTGTAGAGATGCAAAACTCTAAAAGAACACTAAAGGGAATCTGATTTGTAACCCAGGAATACTTCTTAAATTCCTTTTTCTCTCCTTAATCTGCACCGGACAGAGACTTTTACTCACGGGATCCCTCAAACTGTCCCCTGTACCCAGGCCACATGCTCATTCCCCCTCTTCATTGCCCCCTTCCCTTTCCTCCCTCCTCTCCAATCCCATTTCTCTTCATCTTCCAACTCAGCATAACAAAAGCCTGTAAACTGATTTGGAAAAGACAGGATTGACCTTAGAACAGTGCTGTTCAGGGAAAATAAATGAACCACATATGTAATTTAAAATTTTCTAGTAGCCATGTTTTAAAAAGTAAAAAAGAAACAGGTGAAATTAACTTTAATAATATATTATGTTTAACTCAATATGTCCAAAATACTATTATTTCAACATGAAAACAATATAAAAATTATTCAGGAGAGATCTTTTATTTTCATACTATGTTCTTGAAATCTAGTGTGTATTTTTCACTTACAGCGTTTTAAAATGGACTGACCACATTTCAAGAACTTAATAGCCCCACGTGGCTAGTGACCTTATTGGACAGTGCAGCCTTTTAGGGTAGGTGAGTGGGCAGGGGGAGAGGAAAAATTGGGCCCCAAATCTAGCAACATAGCCTGGTTCATGAAGATGTTTTCACAAGTTGGTGCAATAGCAAAATTACAAGAAAAGAGACAATGTGCTGAGTTTCACTTAGAGGCAAACGCATTCAACTTTAAAGAGATTGTATCCCTGCCAAAGTAAGATGCCCCTCACAGAAATAATTATTTATGAAATGTTAGTAGTAATTGATGGTAGTTTTATTCTTCTTAACGTCATCCTGTAGTGAAATAAAAAGATGGTAACTAGTGCTCCCAGACCATGAAGTCCAAATGTGAGGAAACCACTGTTTTATAGCACCCATAGTCTTTTATATATATTAGCCCATTCAATCATCCTGACAACTGCATGGTATATATGTTTTTTGGTTGTTTTGAAACAATCACTTTCAGAAAAGTTGCAAGTACAGTGTACAGAACTTTTTTCCTTGAACCACTGAGAGTAAATTGTTGATTTGAGGCCCTATCACCCCCGAAGTTTTAGTGTGTATTTCCTATGACATAACCTACAAAACCACAATACAGTTAGGAAAATTAGTAAGTTAACATTGATATATTACTATACAATAACTTAGGTCCCATTCAAGTTTTAATAGTTGTCTCAGTTATGTCTTTAGTTTCCTTCAGTCTAGATTCCTTAGTCTCTTTGACTTACATGATTGTGATGCTTTTGAAAATTACAGGCCAGTTATTTTGTAATTAAGAAGTATTTAGGGCTTCCCTGGTGGCGCAGTGGTTGAGAGTCCACCTGCAGATGCAGGGGATGCGGGTTCGTGCCCCGGTCCGGGAAGATCCCACATGCCGCAGAGCGGCTGGGCCCGTGAGCCTGCACGTCCGGAGCCTGTGCTCCGCAACGGGAGAGGCCACAACAGTGAGAGGCCCGTGTACTGCAAAAAAAAAAAAAAAAGAAAAAAAAATAAGTATTTAGTGGGGAGTTAATTTAAAATATACAAATATGGGTGATCCCTGACAGTCCAGTGGTTAGAATTCAGCGCTTTCACTGCCGTGGGCCTGGGTTCAATCCCTGGTTGGGGAATTAAGATCCTGCAAGCTGCGCAGTGTGGTGAAAAAACAAACAAAACAAAACAGAACATCAATAAATTGCTATTAATTACTTTCACCCTCCTGCCCCCCACAGTACTATACAAATATCCCATTACTCATCAAATGTTTAATTTATTCAGTATGTCTTTTGATGCTTGGATTGCCCCCAATTTAGTCAATAGGAGTCCTTCAAGCTGCCTGTCATGTCCTTTTGACATATCCCCATCATTCTTTAAGCAGTTTTTTGCTTTCCAGTACAATGTATTCTTTCAGGTTTACCTTGTACTTCTCCTGCCTTGTGCTGGGGCGTTTCCGCACAGATATCTTCCTACTTGCCTTGGGCTCCAACAACCCACACCAGACTTCCTCTGCTTATCTTCCAACCTTATAGTAAAGTTTTAATTTCCAAGAATTTTCTTATTTTCTGAACTTTCTTCCTTCTTCCCCTTTCTCCCTTTCTTCTTCTTTTTTAAATAGAATACTGTTCTTGTTTCATGAGCATTTTTTCTCTGATCTCTCTGATGACATTCATTCTAGGACATTTAGTTCTCTTCTGTTTCCTTCAGTGTTTCCGTTTCTTCTGAGTTCTTTTGTACCGTTAGTTGGTTTGGGCCCCTGTCTTTCCTGTCAGAGGCTTTTCTCACACATCTGATGTTCTTAGCTTTTGTTCCTGTATAAGAATGAGGCACTAAGAAGCCGACTGGAATTTGGGGGGGAAGATAGAGATGCCAGATGAAATACAGGATGCCCAGTTCAACTTGAATTTCAGATAAGCAAGAAATAACATTTTAACATAAGTATGTTCCATATATTGCATGGGACATATTTATACTAAGAAATTATCTGTTGTTTATCTGAAATTCAGTTTACCTGGGCATGCTGTATTTTTATATGCTAAATTTGGCCAATCTAGGTGGGCTCTGAGTCAATAACTGGGATCCCAATTTTTCTTGGGCCTGTCAGTTTTCTCAGAAAAATCCCACAGTTTGACCTTTGGGCTATAAACCCAGTAACTAATGTGCCACAGACCAAGCGTGGGAAGGGAGCGGTGTTCAGACTGTCTTCAGTGTCACTATCCACCCCTCTTCAAACTGTGTCTAGTGTCCCTCTCCCAAATAAAATCCTGGAGGAGTGTGGGAGGGGCAGCTGCCTGGAAGGGAGGGTTCAAGGAGGGGAACTAGAAGTGATCTGAATGGGTTTTATACAAACTTTCAACCAATTCTCCTGTTTTTAGGCCTGTCCAGCACTCCGACCTTTGGAGGTATCCATTGCCCCAGTGTCTGAGTCTTTCTGGAATTCTGAGACTGATTGTTTCTCCTGTAAATTTAGTTTTCTGCTTTCTTTGACTATTGTTTCTCTCATCTGCTGTGTCTTTATCTAGTGTATTTTAGTCTTTGTGGGTTTATGTCACTGGAAAATTCCTTTGCTGAATTGGTTTTGTGAGAATAAAGATAAATGTGAGTGTTTAATCTGCCATGTTTAACTTGACAACAACGGTTTTTCTATTTATTTTATTAGTCAGTATACCTGTAATGTGTTACATACTCAAATGTCCTGGGAAAAAGGTGTTTGGGTAAACCCAGGATTTTCTCTTCTTCTCCCTTGTATCCCCTGCCCTCAATGAAACACCAAAGGTGACACTGATACAGGTTATTTGGCCTTCTAGACCTGTTACTGTGGCACTGTTGGCTCCCCAAGGAGAGCTGGACTAGAGTGCCTATAAATCTTCAATCTTAACCAACTGTGAGTTTTAAACCTAACCATTCCCTACAATCTGTGGCTTAGAGCAATGAATTTAGATACGGTAGGGTTTACTGTTATTTATTGCTTTACAGTAAGTGCTGTTTGCTCGTGGTAATTGGTTTACAAAAGCTCTTCAGTCTCTAATAAATAAACATCCAGGGTCATTTGTTAAGTTGGAAGGTGAGGGGGGTTCCCAAGGCTCAGTGAGGACTGAGAACCTTGGTCTTTGCCTAGTTCCTTGGACCACCCTCTGAAATGAGCCCAGGAAATTGCAAAATTAGTCTGATCACTTTCAAAAATTTATTTTCTACCAACTCATATTATCATAATTAAACTAGTTGCTACACATGGCAAATATTGTAGGCAGTAATATTCAGGGTGACAATCACCATAGTCAAGGAATGGAAGGGAATAGCAGGAATGCGGCAGGGGTACCATGAGCTCTCACTAGACTTGGCCCCATTTTACAGATGATGAAATAGGCTCAGAGAGCCTTATAACAAGTAACTGGTGCCACTGGTATTAAAATCAAGTCTGTCTAATGCTGACTCTTAGAGAGCGATTTAGACCCTCTGAATTTAAGAATATAAAAGGTCTGTACTCATTCTGGGAAAGCAAAGGGTAAAACTGAAGAACTTTCTGTAGAAGGAAATTTCCTGTTCTATTTGGCAAACAGAGTTTTCCACAATGGATTATTTCTCTAGCAGATATTGCAGGGCAGTGGGATTTGGTGGACAGTTGTCGGGAAGTCTTCTGTTTTGGTGGCAATATCAGCCAGACAAAATCAGGAAGAATGTATGGCAAGAACTGGGAATCTCTCTTGGTTCAGTCCACAGTTAAACAGCACTGATTTATTTTACAGTGGATAAGCTCATCTTCAGGAAAACCAAGAGACCTCTTGCCCTGACACAAAAACAACTCCAAGCTTGATGGGACCCAGACCTGGGCCTGCCTGTCACCTCTAGGTAGGGAGGTGTTAGAGAGACAGCTGAGTTCCTGTGAAGAGTTTCATGTGAGAAGGAGAAAGATGCATATGTCAGTTACGCTCATGTAGTCTGGAAGAGTCTGGCAATGTTAGATTTCTATGTTCATTTTAATTGTTTTGATATCTTAACCTAGTAATAAATTGTCAGTTAATCATTTTACACAATAATAAAAGGTACATAAAACATTAGTGCTGCTTCCTGCTCAGGGCCCCCTCCCCAGCATGGAGTGTTATTGAGATACATTTCATTCAGATAAGTTGGCAATTTTATCAGAGTTAGAGGACACTGACAATTATCCCTCATGCTGCTGCAGACAATGTAAAAAGCCTCCAAGTTCTAATTCCCTTTGGCCCCAAGAACATATCTTACAGAAGGAGCAGCTTTGGTGGCCCTGGAGAGTTTGGTCACCAAGTTTCATTATTTTGATTGAAGGGAAAGCCCATATTCCTGCTTTAGAACTTAGAGCCTAGGGGTCAGTAGATAGGGAGGTAAGTGATTAATAAATGTGATAAAATCGGCATTCCGTGTTAAATCTAAGCTACATGGGTATTTAACTCAGGTTTGTATAAGAACATTCTTGAATTCTTTCCAACTACCACGGAGATCAGAGTGTCCATGGAAAGCTGCCATGCACAGACACTGGAAAGACAGAATCATTCCCAATTTCTGCCGTGTGACTCCAGTATGACCTTGCTGATGTGTCTGAGTTTTAGTCCCTTGATTTAAGTGAAACCTCTTTACAAGGTTACCAGGTAGAACAGTACTTGTCAACCTTGACCTGGCGAAAAGCAAGAGCCCTTCTGAGGTTGTTGCAAATTCCTGAGAGATTTCAATCTCTCCTAGTGAGCCCCTCCCACCAAGTGCATGACATCAGGAGAAGCAGCTGTGAAGTTAAACAATGATGGGGTAATGCAACTCCAAAAAGGTTAGAAATTCTTAATAGCGTAAGGTCCTAAAGCTACAGAGTAAAGAAATGACTTGACTTTATGGTGACTAATATGACAATCTCAGCACTTGGTTTGGGCGCTGTTGCCGAAGGAGGAAGGAGGGGGAAGGAAAGACGGAGCCGGGGGCGGAGGGAGAGCTGCCTCAGTTGTGACAGTTCTGCTAGACCATAAATTAAGTTAATTATTAGTACCAGCTGTTACTTATTATTTAATTCAGTAATGCTGCTCTGTAATTCTATAACTCTTAAGTTGGCAAACCACTTTGCAATGGAGCTGTATGAAAGATCCTATATAAAATTATGTTTACTGTTCTCGTTATTATAGTTTAGGAGTTACTTGACCAAGCTGGTGTGGTCATGAATTAAGAAGATGAGCTGCTAAGGAAAAAGCTGAGAGAAAGCTGAGGTTTGTTTTAAGCCAGTTTGTCTATAATTCCAGCCACCAGGAACAGAAGGCCTGTGGATAAAAGTTAAATAGGATGAAATCTGCAATGAAGCCAAAGGTGTGGGTTCTAGTTCTGATTTTTTCGTCCTTTTGACCTTTTAGAATGGAGATGAAATGAAAATGTTTGTCTTGTATCTACCTGCCCAGGATGTAATAGAGAAAAACTAGCCTCTGGGAGAGAAATAACGCGTTCTCTTAAGAAATGCATTAAGTAAGTGTCAGGTGATGTAACCCTTGAAGGTCTTCTAGCCACAACAATTTCACTTGAAAGCTATTAATTTCAGAAACAGAGGACAGAACACCCTGGAGTTTCAAATTAATACTCCCTCAGTACACCTGTGTTAGATAACTTTCAGGACTGTAGGCAAAATAAGTCCACAGGACGATTAGGAAAACGTCTGCCTGTCTACATAGAGAGTATACCTTATAGCATCAAAATTTTTCTTTGACTATTTAATGTAAAGAATTATGAAAAAATATAGTAATACTTAAAACTTTACAAGGAAAATTTTAAACAAATAAAAATAATATGTAGGAACACTAGAAAGCGGAATCATGTGAGCAAAGTTCTCACATTCAATAACTACCTAGTGAGCACCGACCTACTTACATGCCAGGCACTATAGTCTCTTAAGGCAAGGCTCAGCAGCCTATGGCAAGGGGCCCAAGAATGGCTTTGGAAATAATTTATAGTGGTTCAGTATTTAAGCTGTGGAGAGGCAAATAGGGGTGCTACCCTGAGTTCATCCCAGCCTTTCCCAGCCTTCCTGCAACCTCATCCCCACCTCCACTCCCACTGAACTTCTGGAAGCTAAGAGATCATCCTTCTGGGGTCCCCCAAGGCTCATTCCAATAGGTTGGTCAAGTCTTCTGCCTTTCCTTGCAGCTATGCCCACTCCCCCGTTTGGTTCACTGGATGTCAGTGAAGGAAACCCTTGGTAGCTACTTCTAAAGGTCCTGATCCCAACTTTGGAGAGTGTTTCTAAGAGAATAGGATAGCCAGTGTCCCAAGTTTCCCATCTAGAGGCTCCATTTGCATCTGGAATATTGGAAGTCATCCAGCTTGCTGGCCTGCTTGCCTGTACCACAAGGCGTGGATTATAATGGGAGTGTCTGGCAAAGTAGGATGGCTCAGTCCTCAGCTGTTACCCACTGAGTCCACACCATTGCTCAGGCATTGTAGAAGGAGGTCGCACAGCCCTAGCCCTTGATGGACTTGTAAACTCAAGTTACATTTTTACATTTAAAAGAGGAACTTAAAAATACGCAGGTTAATTCTACTTCCTAAATATTTATTGCCATTCATTCAGACCATTAAACACTAACTTTTTGAAACTCCAGTTCTCCTTGCACTCACTAATGAAACATTCCCAATAATAGGCCTTTTCTCTTTCTTAAGTGTTCTTCCATGGCTTTTCCCTTTAAACTAAACTAAGGAAATAGTATCATAACTGAAATCTTTCCCTATTCAGGTAGAAATGAGCATTTAACTTAAAACTAATTGCAGGCCAAGCTTTAAAGGGCCATTAATTAGTAATGGTACCAGAGGAGCAAGGTGACTAGATGGCTGAAATTGGGCAGAACAAGCCTAATTATTTGCTTCTTATTCCATCTGACAATATTTGTCCTTCAAAAGCACATTTAATTACCAAATGGGGTAACTTGGTAGAATTTCAACATAGTCCCTGGCACGTGGGAAGCTCTCAATAACTCTTCTCTGCCCTGTTTCCCTCTTCCTTGTGCCTTCTTTGCTTTCTGCAGGCACTCATGTCTTCCAACTCATTATGAAAAAAATGGCTTGAACTCCTTCAACTGTTCTCAAATGAAACCCGTCTCTTTGGTATGCCTTTCCTGGTCTGACTCCCCTGATAACCTTGATGCCACCCCCTCCAGGCTCCTCTGCAGCCCTGCTCTTCCAGTAACCCCTTCTCTACGGTGTATCTTCATTACCTTCATCAACTAATGCATTCCTTTTTTAAAAAATTAATTTATTTTATTTATTTATTTTTGGCTGCGTTGGGTCTTCATTGCTGTGTGCGGGCTGTCTCTAGTTGCGGCGAGCGGGGGCTACTCTCTGTTGTGGTGCGCAGGCTTCTCATTGCGGTGGCTTCTCTTGTTGCTGGGCACGGGCTGTAGGCGCGTGGGCTTCAGTAGTTGCGGCTCGTGGGCTCTAGAGCACAGGCTCAGTAGTTGTGGTGCACAGGCTTAGTTGCTCCGCGGCATGTGGGATCTTCCCGGACAAGTGTTTGAACCTGTGTCGCCTGCACTGGCAGGCGGATTCTTAAGCACTGTGCTGCCAGGGAAGCCCTGCATTCCTTCTTAAAGTCCAAAAAACTTTCAATGCTTTTGCTCCTTAAGTTACCGGTTATCTTCTCCTACATAGCCAACCTTGGAAGAGTAGTCTACCCTCCCTCCCTCCAATTCCTTATCTAAAATCTGCCCCTTGCCTCTTGCAAGCTGGCTTCTGCAGCAACTAAGACTGCTTTCCCGGAGATCAGTAATGACTTCTTCTCATTCCTCTTCCACCTGTTCATGGCATGTGATGTGCTTAGCTACTCTCCTGATTAAATTCTTTTGACTGCCTTTATCTGCCACTCTATCGTTTCCCGTGTCAGTACCTTAAATGCTGCTGTCCTCAAGTACCCATTCTTAGTTGCTCCTACTTTGCTCAATTAGTGCTTCTATATCTGGATGCACATAAGAATTACCTGGGAGCTCTTTTATCATGCAAACCCAGATTAAATCCAATGAAGTCTGATTAAATCCATACCAATTAAATCTGATTCCTGATACCACCAAGAAATTGGATTTGATTGATCTGGGGTTGAATCCTGGCATCTGTCTTATTTTTTTTAAACAGATGCTTTTTTTAAAAAAATTATTTATTTATTTTTGGCTGTGTTGGTTCTTTGTTGCTGCGCACAGGCTTTCTCTAGTTGTGGCGAGCGGGGGCTACTCTGTTGCAGTGCGCGGGCTTCTCATTGCGGTGGCTTTTCTTTGTTGTGGAGCATGGGCTCTAGGCACGCAGGCTTCAGTAGTTATGGCACGTGGGCTCAGTAGTTGTGGCTTGCAGGCTCTAGAGCACAGGCTCAGTAGTTGTGGCACATGGGCTTAGTTGCTCTGCGGCATGTGGGATCTTCCCAGACCAGGGCTCAAACCCGTGTCCCCTGCACTGGCAGGCGGATTCTTAACCACTGTGCCACCAGGGAAGTCCTGGCATCTATTTTTAACATGCTCCTTAGGTGATTCTCAAGTACAGCTGGGACTGAGAACCATAGCTCTAGAATATCAATTTTTATCTTTAGGTCTTACATTCTCCTGATACATAGACCCAAATTTCCAGCATTCACTTTCTGGGTGATCCGAATCAAACTCATGCTCCCCATTCGAAGAACCTCTGTCTCTGTGTTTATAGGGCTACCACTCTCACATTATCCCAAGCTGGAGACCTAGAAGCCACCCTTAAAATTTTCTTTGGCTTTGCCGCTCAATTCACTTATTTGCCATGCCTTGTAGATTTTAATACTGACCCATTTCAAATCCATTCTCCCTACCACCATCCTATGCCCCATTTTAGGAGCTTGTTGCAGTAACTTCTTACTTGGCATCTTCACCTTCAGTCTCTTTCCTCTTCATTCCATCCTCCACATGCTTGTAGAAAGGTCTTCCTGGAACACAGACCTGATTGTATCCACTCAGTAACCACCACTGGGGGGGGGGGGGGGGGGGAAGAAAACCACCATTGGATTACGCTTACCCAAGAATAAAGCCCAAATTCTTTAGTGAGGTGCTCACAATCTGACCCCAGTTCTCTAAAACCACTCTCTTCTAGCCTAGATTCCCACCCCATGAGGTTCCCCATAGTGCAGTCATGGTTCCTGAATCATGACATATATTCCTTCTTGCCTTTGCTTATACTATTCTCTCTGTCTAGGACTGAATTCAGCTCAGATGCTTCAAACAAAGGGACGACTTACAGAGATACAGTCAAGGTAAAGGGAAGCTACAAGAGTGGCTGAGACATCCATAGAGTGACAGAGTGGGATGCTCTTATTTTCTGTAGGCTCAAAGGCCAAGGGGGTGAAATACCATTACCACATCTCGGTGAGAGCTGAAGCCTTGGAGAGAGGGCCATCACTAGGAACTGTAGGCAGGGAGGGTTAGAGCCACTGCCAAACCACATGCCGTAGCAGAGAGGGGACAGTGAATAAACACCCCAAACTCTCCTCCTCCCGCTAATCTCTGGCAGGTGTCTTTAATTGGCCAAACTCAACTAGGAGCCAGCCAACCACCAAGAATGGTCAGATGATGCAGTCTATTGATTAAAAAGTGGGGCAGAGAGAGGCAGAGAATAAATGGTGATATGAGGGAGGGGGAAATTAAATGGAGGATAACCAGGTAATCCCCATTTATATATAGTAAAATCCCTTGTGTCTTTTAGCACACAGTTCAAATGTCACCTATTATGTGAAGTTTTCCCTTATTTTCCTACCCCAAGAACCAGTTATTTCATTCCTCTGGTCTCCTGTAGCTGTTGTTACGTCTCCGTTATTGCAGCTATCAATCTGACTTATGATACGATTATTTATGTATCTGCATCCATCTCTTGCATCATATTTTGTGCTGCTGGAGGAAAGGGATAGTACTTCATTTGGTACAGTGTATTGCAGATAACAGGCACTCGATAACTGTTGGTTAAATTTAATTGCACTTTCATGTTATCTCCTCCTCAGCCTCTGTCAGGGAGATTCATATGCACTTGTAAACCGCAGTCCTCACATTTTTTCCCACTTTACATAAGAGCTCCTTTTTTTGGTCCTACTTCTGCTTCTTGCTTCATTTTCTCCTTCTTATCTTTATTTCTTAGGTTAGGTACTTTAGACTGCAGCTCATCAACAAATTGTTGGGAATACTAACATCACCGATCCCGGCAAGGGTCTAAAAATCTCTAGCTTTATTTTATGTCTAAGTGGTACATATAGAACTTTTTTCTTTAATTTACACATGTACCAAGCTTTAAAATGAAGTCCCAGAACCCAATTTTTTGTTCTTCATTGGACTTGAAACACTTCTGAATAGGAGTTATGCTTGGCTTGACATGTTTTGCATCTAGAAAAAGCTGTGCGCTGCTCTGTTCTTTATAAATACCAATAGTGAGTGCAGCTAACATATTTTTACTGTGCAAACACTACTCTACATTGATGGTTTTGATACACATTGAGATTTTTATATGAAAAGGAGTATTTTTAGACCCAATGAAAATATTATTTTCATTATGGTGTTGATAAGATGGAAATAATGGCAAAAATTATAATTCCCATAGCAGTTCAGAGTTTTCATCTAAAATATTGAATTTTCCATCTTAGGAAGCTCAACTTTGGTCTTTTTAAATATCTTCCTTCTCTGGGACTTCCCTGGTGGTGCAGTGGTTAAGAATCCACCTGCCAATGTAGGGGACATGGGTTTGAGCCCTGGTCCGGGAAGATGCCACATGCCATGGAGCAACTAAACCCGTGTGCCACAACTACTGAGCCCACACTCTAGAGCCCGCGAGCCACAACTGCTGAGCCTGCATGCCACAACTACTTAAGCCTGCGTGCCTAGAGTCTGTACCCTGCAACAAGAGAAGCCACCACAATGAGAAGCCTGCGCACCGCAACAAAGAGTAGCCCCCGGTCCTGCAACTAGAGAAAGCCCGTGTGCAGCAACGAAGACCCAACACAGCCAAAAATCAAATAAATAAATAAATAAATTTTAAAAAAAGAATAGAACTTCATTAAAAAAGAAAGCCTTCCTTGTCTCTCTTTAACAAGCTCATTCCTTCCTCTACTTTCTTAAACATATAGAGCACAGTTATAAGAGCTGTTGATGATAATAGCAGTTTTAATGTCTTTGCCTACTAATTTTATCACCTGTGCCATATCTGGCTCTGTTTCTATTGAAGGATTTATTTGTTTTCCTCATTCTGGGGTTTCCTGCTTCAATTTGAATGCCTGGTTAAAGAAAAAGTACCGATAAAAAATTGAATCACAGGCATTGTGAATTTCACATTGTTTGAGGCTGGACTTTTTTGTGGGGAGGGGGTTTATTCTTTTAAATATTTTTGAATTATGTTCTGGGACACCGTGAAGTTACTTGGAAACAGTTTGATCTTTTCGAGGCTTGCATTTAAACTCTGGTGGGCAGAAGCAGAGCCGCCTTTCATATAGGGCTCACTTGGCCTGCTAATGAGGCAATGCCTTTCTGAGTACTCAACACGACACCCAGTGTGTTAGAAGGTTTTTCCATTCAGGCTGTTGGGAATGTGGATTATTTCCAGCCCTGTGTGAATGCCAGTAATTGCTCCTTTCAGGTGTTTCTCTTCCTGTCCCCAGGTAGTTTCCTCACACATGTGTGCTGATCAGTATTCAGCTCAAGACTCAAGAGGAAGGCCCTGCGGAACTCTAGAACTCTCTGTCTCTCTCTGTGCAGCTTTCCTACCCTACAAATTCTAGCTACCTTAGCCAATCTGAATTCTTAACTTCAGGGAAGCTGCCAGGCTTGGTGGGGTTCCCTTGCCTGTACTGTAGCCTGGAATCTCTCTAGGCAGTAAGCTGGGGCAATTATAGTTTCACGTCATGTGCTTTTCTTCTTTCAGAGATGACTGTTTTGTGCTGCATGTTGTCTAATATCTGAAAACAGTTTTTTATATATATTTAGTCTGGTTTCCATTTGTTTAAGATAGAGGGTAAATCAGGTCCCTATTACTCCATCATGGCCACAAGTGAAAATCAGTTTTTATTTTTAAATGGAAGATGGGGGAGTATATTGAACCAATTTGTATCAGAAAAATAAGCTAGAGTTTGGCCATGGCCCAGCCATTTCTCCTTTTTTTTTTGCGGTGCGCGGGCCTCTCACTGCTGTGGCCTCTCCTGTTGCGGAGTACAGGCTCCGGATGCGCAGGCTCAGCGGCCATGGCTCACGGGCCCAGCCGCTCCGTGACATGTGGGATCTTCCCGGGACCGGGGCACAAACCCGTGTCCCCTGCATCGGCAGGCGGACTCTCAACCACTGCGCCGCCAGGAAAGCCCCATTTCTCCTTTTCTTAGCTTTACTTTTCTCATCTAGAAAATAAAGAGGTTGGTTTGTATGATCATTAGGTTTTTCCCTGTCTCTTAAATTCTGTAATTCTAAATTAAGCACAGGTGTATCTTTGCAGAGACTTGATATATAGTCTCCGATGTGATAGTTAAAAGATTTGTAGTTATGGAACTCCCACTTTGCCATAGTAAAGTAAATTTAGAAGAGAAGATTAGTGTTTTAATAGATGAGTCTTTAGTTACAGACCTGGGAGGGACAATTACAAATCCCAGAGCACACACATGTAAAATGACCAAACAGTTTGAAGAAGGGGAAATGTGTAGGAATATTCTTAGTTTCATTATTGTTTACAGGGCCTGCTGCTGTGTATTGGATGGGTGTTCAATAAATATCTGTTGAATAGCTCAGTAGTACTTGAAGCCATTTTCCTAACAGGGAGAAGTAATTGAAAAGCTTTTATTATAGCAAAAGTTGGAAATAAACAAAAAGTCGATCAATATTGGGATTGGTTAGTGGTACATTCATGCAATGAAATATTATACTATAGTCAAAAATACTGAGCCAGAGTGCCATGCACTAATATGGAACGCTTCGAGAGATTATATTATTAAATTAAAAAAAGATCACTACATATATTTTATACTCTTGCAATAAAGACGATTTTTAAAGGAATTAAATCTGTTTTAAGGCAACATATACATACATGCTTGTATATTCAGAGAATACATCTAGAAAGATATACAAACCGGTGACACTGATACCTCAGGGGAGGAAGATTAGGAGACAGTATGGAAGAGGGACTTTTCCATATCCTTTGAATTTTGTTATGTCCTTGTACATATCCTTTGAATTTTTTTAATGATGTGTATATGTTATCTAGTTTAAAAAATTTTGCTACTGGATATATATATGTACACATATTTTTTTAGTGAAGTAACTGAAATTCTCTAAAAGGATTAGATTTCCATAAAGCAGTCTGGGAAATTTCCCCATCTCTAGATTATGTGTTTAAAGGAACCAGACCACACCTACTCTTTCTACTATTACTCTAGGAAAGTACAGGGTACCTCCATGGCTGTGATTAATTTCCCATTCCTTATGAAAAGAATCATCGTGCTAGATACCTAATGACTGTGGAGCCTAATGCCTGCTTGAATATGGGTGCTTGAGAGAACAAGGCCATTTGTTTCTAATGGTCCTATATACATTTTATGGTGTTTAGCCTTTATAATCTAACCCACCCATCTTTCTGGCTTCCAGATGAGCAACCAAGAAAGTACAGGGTGCAGGAGCTGGACAGTGAGGCTGTGAGATTCACATATGTTAACTCATGGCCCGTTTGCTCCATTCCAAGGCTGCAGGTAACATGTAAGTGTGTTTAGAAGAGAATGAAATAACACCCACCAAGTGGAGGTGCTACCTTTTATGTTTGAGGGAGAGAGTTACATCTCTGGCAAGCTATCTTAAAGGAATGACTTCTAGGCATAACCTGTGTTCCTATGAGTGTCTGATTCGCCTCAGGTAAAACCCAGCCAAATATTTCCTGGAAGACAGGGGGAGATATTTGGAAACATGTGCAAATCCAAAATTAAAAATCCATGGCTCATAATGTAAGTCAGAGAAAGTGCTAGGATGCCCAAGGCATCTTCTTGTGACTCTGTTATCTGCTTTAAAATTTCTGGTGCTGTTGCTGGTTTTGAATTCTTGAAACACTAATGTAGCAAGTAGATAGTCAGTGCCAGAAAGATGGCTCCGAGGTCCAGCCAGCCAATGAAAGAATAGGAAGAATAATATTCCTGACTTCACGAAGCTTATTTTTGTCATATGTGGGATATTACTGTGTAGAAATTACTAGAACACATGAATAAC